TGGAGAGGGCTGATCAGATGGCCAACACCGCGAACATAAAGAATTCTTTGACTTCTTGAAGGCGGTGTATGAACCAACATTGCAGCTACTAAGAACCCTTATTGATCCTATTTCAGGCGCTGCCTGTAAGCAGACTGTAAACATAATGCAGATCTGGCGAACGCACTTTGACTGTCTCTTGAACAACCGTCCAGAGATTGACTGGGCTGTGTTGCAGGGGATGCAACAGTAAGGGATGAAGATGTGTCTTGTGGACACACCGACACTGCATGAAACGCATAGAGCACTCGATCCGCTACGAAAGGGAAGTGTGCTGGAGTCGACGGGATACTGCTAGGAGTGTTGAAACACTGAGGGCCCGCGTTGATTCATACGCTGCAACATATGGTGGAACGCGTGTGGTCTGAAAGTGAAGTTCTGGCTGACTTGTAGGATGTTTTTGTGCTACCACTACAAGTGCAAAGGGAGCAAGCAATGTTGCACGAGTTATCGTGGTATCGACTTGCTGAGCTTTGTGGGGGAGGGGGTTGCTCGAATTCTGTTCAACCGCCTAGTCACTCAAGTCATTGAACCGGAAGTGGCGGAATTGCAATGTGGACGCCGTTCGGTCCGCAGCATCATAGATATGGTGTTCGTGGCTCGTCAGTTGCAAGAGAAATGCCGAGAGTGACACCAGCCATTTTATTTGCTATTTGTAGATTTCACCAAGGCATTTGACACGGTGAACCGCGAGGCACTGTGGCTGGTGTGTTGGGTAAGTTCAGTTGCCTGACTAAGTTTAATTAAATGTTTACTTGTTTGTCTGCACAGTGGTACGCGGGCGAGTGTGCAGCTGTATGGATAAACTTCGGGTGACTTTGCTGTACTCTCTGGTATGAAGCAAGTCTTTACCTTGGCCCCTGCTCTGTTTAACATTTATCTTCATGCAATGACGTCTTGTGCTTTTGATGCTGTTTGTGATTACGGCGTCCGTGTGAGGCATCGCATCGATTGTGGGTTACTGAACATCCGTCGTTTCGGGATCGGAACCCTAATGTCTGAAGAACCCATCCGTATGTTGCTCATGGCTGATGACTTCTGGAACCAATTTGATATTGTACACATCAATGGTGCTGTGGTGTCTTCTCTATGGCAACTCTAGAAGTATTTCACTAAGAACGCTTGCGTCTAGTACCGTACATCTGATGGCATGATAGATTTCCTGACGGAAGTGCTTTGGCGTTGCGGCATGTACGAGATGGATTATATGCTGTTGCTGCAACACCTTATGTGGCTCGGATATGTCCGCCTTGTTTTATGAGAATACCGAGACACCTGCTATACGGCCAGCATAGTACAGGGAAGCGGAACGTGGGCAAGCCGAATTTGCGTTATCGGGACATGATCAAGGTGAGTTTTTCACGAACTAATATTGATTTTAGTTGTGGGAAGCAATACCAGGGGATCGCCTAATGGCATGGTCACCTCAAGAACGTTTACCGGCTCGTAAACTAAAAGGTAACGGGCTTTTCTTGTAATCTGACGGGCCGGGTTCGAGCCTACGTAGGGGCAAGGCGACCCTCACAGTATACCTAGCCCACGTGCGACCGGTGGTGGTTGCACGGTAGCGAAGCGTCGGTACTGCGTACCGGCCTTGCCTTTCTTTTCTTCCTCAAGAATGTCGTTGCCCAGGTTTTTGAGAGTGCAGTGGTACCTAAAAGAAAAACGCCGGTTACGGAAGCGTCAAGTGCCGACGGAATTAGTCTTATGAAGATCATGCTTTCATATAGACTATATTCGATGTAATGGCGTCGTAGTCATTAGCAGCTGACACTCTTCATCGGCAACCAGGGGAATAGGCCCAACTAATCGGTTTGGCGCTTTTTATTGCCCCATCTCCAAGGTAAATGCCCCTACCCATCGCTGAATCTCATTGGTTAATATTTGTACTAAGGACCACGGCGTAGCCATCAACATTTTACTATGTTCACAGTTTATAATTTACTGTTCCTCCGTCCTGACCCGAAGCATGTTTTCCGGCCCATGTGTCCAGTACCATAATCATCATCATTATACACGTTAACTACAAGTAGAAAACTCCTCAGCTGTTGTGCCCCAATACAAGACAAAAAAATGCAACAGAGGAACGCCGACTGAATCACCAGTAACGGATGGACATCGTTCCATAAATCTAACGACTGGCTATTGTGCCGCGAAAATGAGTTGTATTATGGTTAGAGGGGGAGTCTAAGCTAGAGATGAGGGACAAAGGTACAACACAAACGCCATTGAAGTCGGCTCTTAGCCATATCAAGTGTATCCAGCCAGTATTGTAGGCGGTCTTATCAGGCGTTCATCTGGAATCAGACGAATTATTCAACATGTGAATTGCACATCATGTACTGCACCAATCTTGATGATCAGAGCCAACTGGGAAGGTCCGGATTTGTGTGGACTCCGCCGGTTTGAATGCCGCTTTAAAAAATCAGCATCTTCCGTTGTCTTTGCCATAAGATTTGTTTGCAAGCCTCAGTTGGAGCAAATCTTTCACTATAGTAGACTTATCATACGCGTTCTCGCATGTGGCGATTTCCGGGGATTCTCGGGAATTACTGGCTATCAGTCTGTTTCGGTTCAACAATTTACCATTTGGAGTGAAAAAGCCACCTGCAATTCTTCAGTAAATCATTGACACTATTTTACAGGACGTTCCATCTGTCGCAGCGTAATTTGACCATATCATTATCATGGGCAAGGGTCCAGTGGGTTTGAAAAACTGGATTTAGAACATGCTTGTTGGAATCCATGACTATGACTCTAGCTTGAGCGAAAAACTAAACTCGGTCAGCATCGAAGTCTTCCGGAAAATCCCTATACCACATGCTGTGGTAACGCTGTGATCCCTCTTGGGATTGGTGAGTCACTACAGTGCACGTTTGTCACTAACACATGATCCGTGTGGACCTCCTAAAGCTCAACCTCTCATGCATTCCACGTTGTGTAGCAGTATAAAATGTAGCCGAGCTATGCTGCTGACCAATGTCTATCTGACGAATTTCTACCTATACCATTCAAATCCCCCTACTACTCTTCTGTTATCTGAAATTTAATATAATGGAAGAGGCTTATCTCCGTTGTCTGAGCGGCCCTCATCAACCGCGTGATGACCATTAACGTGACGTTCGCATGGTAACAGGCGGCTAACTCGCGCACTGAAATCCCCAATAAGGGTAATGACATCCGATTTGCTAGATTTACTTAACAGCTGGCGAGGCTTTCAGAAAACGGTAGACAACCGGTTAATATATTTATGGTCATCATCATTATACACGTTAGCTAGATGTGTGAAACATCTCAGCTATTGTGCCGCAATATACTTATGGTGATACACAACGTTTCGACTTTGACACAAAAGCTTCATCCGGTCTAACAAGTTTTCTGAAATGATGACTTCCCGATCGGTTCCAGATATGGCGAGGCTCTAAATACAAATTTTTGACCGAGCCATAGCTGCAGTCGAATTTACCGTACGCCAGTTGATTCTACACGAGCCCCGAAGCCCACCGGCACGTTCGGCTGTGAATCGGGAACCAGTCCAAATGTGCGGTCACTGCTTTGCTACAAACACACATATTAGTCAAACCTGCAGCGGCTGCTTCTGGGTCACCAGGTGATAACTGGTTCTGTGAGCAATGGAGTATATCAACCTAAGCATAATACTACTGTGCTACATCATTGGCGTGGGGATGCAGAATATAAACTGCATAACTATCCGTGCCTCGAAGCATTGAGACAGAAAGATGATCAGGGTGGAAGGAGGGCAACTGGTTGAACTCCATGGGAAAAATCGATATCGGATGCATATTCACAAAAACGGGTTGTTAATAAATGTGCAATCGGTGTGTGCCGGAAGTACATAAAAGTAAGTAGCAGAAGCACTTTACCGGACGATCCACGGTTTTGTAACAAAGTTACAGACCGGTTGATCAAGCCGAATTAATGAAGTGCCTTAGAGAACACCACCGAGAGCTTCCGATAAACAGCCTACTCGTTAGACAGTGGAGCAAAGACTGGGAAATGTGCCCACTGAAAGTCACTGACTAATTACTCATTTCACACGCCTTTCGTCTGGTCGATTACAAAACAAGGGAATCCAGAAATGCTACCATGACTAGACACTACTTCCCCTGAAACAATTTTCCACCGAACTTACAGGCCAAGTTTACCAAACCGCACACGATCTGAAAAAATAGGATTTTTAATCATTGCTATTTACGGGGTACCGGTACGTCTGTTACGATGAACTACCCACGTGCCTACGCAATGCGGATGAGTAAATTGGTTCGCTAGATTGACAAATAACACTGGATAAATTGCTTTGGTTCGAGTGCATGGGACGAATGGCAGCACTGTTGACTGATCAGTGGCGTTGCGTTGTTTGTGAGAGACGTAGAATTGATGGTAGACAACCGCTGACCAAGTGGCGGGACTTACAGCCACTGGTCACTAGATTGCGTGTTGTTGGGATGTGTCACCAACTAAGTGGAGACTTATGTGGCTTTCGCTGCGCTTGGCTTTGGACATTCCGGGACACCGCTCTCGTAACCGGATTGCCCGTGTGCATGATACCGAGTTATTTGCATCATGAGACCGCGCGGCACAGACACAGGAAACCGGTTGCCTCTTCATCGTCTGCTAGCTCGTTGTTTATCGCGGTGATTTTCTGCGAAGGTGTAGACATCCTGATTATTTGCCAAAAGCATCAAATCAATACATGAGGTCCAGCTTCGAATTTACTCATATAGCTTATTGATAGGAAAGGTATCATTTTGCGAGACGCTGTTTCTTCTCACTCATTGGCTTCAGCTCTTGTTAATAGCATGATTTCCACCACTGGACGGTTTTGTCCGTTTTTCCACCTGAGTGATCTGGCCATGTGAATAGTCATTTTGTTATCGCTGCATAAATTATATTCCCTTACGCTTTTGCCTTCCAAATCCCATTCTTCTTCCATTTTAGCTATGTGGTACGAAATATTGCCTTCTCTTGGAATAATGCTAGCTTGCGTGGTCGTTTATCCTCCGATTCAAAAGAGCTTAGCTTATCTTTTTTACGGTAGAGTAAGTAAACATTGTTTTGTGCATTTCCACTCCCTACTCCTTTAGTGGAGTGGGACGAATTTCTTCCGCTACAGATATGATTTTGCTCTTCATGTACGCGATCGAAACCTTGTCGGTAGACATCACGTTTTACGGGTAGGTTGGAGCCAACTAATAACCGAGTTCACTTACTTTTTAGGGTGTTGAAGTTATTGAGAGTGACTAAACTTCAGTAGCGATAACATATGACAGTTGTCTTCATCCTTCATTTATGACAATATAAGTGATTATACTCTTCGTCTTACCCTTTATCCTATTTTCATCAGTGTTGTTTTTGTCGCTCTTTGTTGTGTCTGCGTAATGTCTATGTATCTGGAGCAGTCGATAGTCGGGTGCTGCATTCGCACAATCAATCAACTGATAAGTCATACTGGGCGTGGTATACGTTTATCGCCGAAACGTACATAACCACTGTACACAACTTGTCTGCGAGGGCATACCAGCAGAAGTTGGCAACGCGTACAGCCTCAAGTCACCAGCTTCTGCATCAGCATGTAAACAGCTTATGTAAGGTGAAGCGGAAAATTCCTCCGCTTCAAAAAGCGGATAGACTGACACTGACCATGATGGATGCAGCGAATACTTTGCGCTTGCTATACGCCTCAACCTTTCGACGCGTTCAGTGGCCACTTAACTTTATGACAAGACCTGTCCAACCCCGAATACTCATATCCTTTACGGCAGGCAGTGTTGAAAAAGCTGTTGTGTATGTGTAAGCACTGCTCTCCTCACCCGAAGTTACTTGCGACCGTAGGAAAGAGCTGCGCCGAGCCTTTCGCTCGATTTTTCCAATGCTATTTCAACAAAATGCTCATCCTTGACATGTGGAAAAACGGAATGATAACACCTATTCACAAGAGAGGTAGTCGTTCGGATCCAGCCGGCTATCGTCCTGTTACCCTACTGCCGGTGCTTTCAAAGTCATGAAACCCATTGTTGCGGATACACTAACGGTACACTTGAAGCAATTTACCTACCTCGCAACAGCAAAGCATTGCTTCGGGCGAATTCGATCACGCAGTAAGAATCCACTGTCAGCATGATCCAGCTAGACCGGAGCAGCAGACAATGGCACATGAGTCGATGCATTTTTTCACTTCGTAAAGGCATTCAACCGATGACCATGGCACCCTCTCCAGACTACTGGCGATAGTGATCCTTTTTAGGGTGGACCAGAAGCTTTCCCTGGATCCCAAAGGCTTCTAACTGGCAACGAACGTTAGTGAGCTACCCGGTTGAATGCTTGGTGTATGACAGGAAATAGAATTATTACTCCGTAGATGGAAATGTAGTTCAGATAATACAGGTGAGGGGTGGTGTCCGATATCTTGTCAGTAAAGTCCTGCTGCGAATTATTTATCAGGCGCTTGTGGCGGTCGTTTGAATCAACTTTGTCTTCTGGTGTTCGCTCCACGGAACATCTGCAGAAATGTGTATCGGACAAATTTCATTCCGGATGCGGTATACCGACAAATACACCGCCTCCACCACGGCTGTGAATGCTAGTGTTAGCCGTATGAGCGGGGTCCACCACAGTGCATCGAGTGTTAGTCTGCCTAGCCTTTACACCAATCTGACCACAAACGAAATACCACAAGTTCAGATCGTTTTGATATTTACTTGGGTTCCGGAAAGTTGGTGCACATGGATGTTAGCGCACTGTAGTTCCGCCTGGTCTTCGGAGATGTAAATTGTAAAAGCAAGTCGCACCAGAAGCATTCCAGAGAATGCATTCAGTAGATGGAGCTTATCAATCCAAGGAAAGGTTCAACAAAATGTTGCGGCGTGAATCCGAAAGACCTGGCTTCAAAATGATGCCCACGTAAGGCGAAGTTTAAGAGCTAGCTGGCTACTATGAACACTGGCAGTCCCCATCTCTGATAGACTATAACACAACACAATCCAAGAGAAATTAATTTTCAGTTCTATCAAATTTGGAAGCATACAGGAGGTGCTTTAAGGCATGTGGTTAACATTCTTAATGCCCCTTGCCTCAACTTTAGATAGACCCCAAGGTATGAGAATAGATGAGTATACTTCTCATTTTTTCACTAGGTATAAACAACGCTTGAGAGAGGACCAATCAACTAAAAGATCAATGCAAACCGACACAATCCTTAATTTATGAGAAAAGCCGTGAAGACACGACAGTAGCATAAAGTCTACCTTCGATGCATGCCTTTTAGAAGCTACACAAGCCAACCCGATTCGTGCGGCACCCCCGTACTTACAGTGAAACGGGGAAAGCTGCAGCAGCATGTGCTTCGGAAAACATTTCCACCGACTTCTCAAGCGATGAGTAGGGTGGAACATGCATCGCATTTGATTGTTGGAGTAGTGAAGCTTACTACGGCTACAGGGGCTTAAGCAAAAAATGACGAGAAAGAAATGGGAACAAATAAGCATGGAAAATTTGTTTATTCAAGATGTACAAATTGTGATGTCACTCCCTCCGCTGACGTTTTCGGGAAAGTTCCACACCTGCAACAGAAAAAAGCATTAAATTCTATCGATTGTATGTAGGTGACACTGATAAAAACGGGGCATTATAGGTCGGCCGGCGTCTGTGCGTACAAACCGAACACTGATTGTGCAATAAAGGAAGCGATGCAGATAGAAGATCGGCACAAACAAGTAAAACACAACTGCCCATGGCGAGTGTGAGAGCAACCGATAACAGGGTTCCAGAAAAGCTTTAACTATCTGGGTTTTGAAGTGGAATAGAAGCCAGTGCGGGCCGGCTGGATTAGTGATCATTAAAACGGGATGGATGGAGCAAAAGAACAAATGATAAAAGCAGAGCAGGCGAAAGAATATAAAAAATTCATGTAACTAACTATGACAGGTACCACAGCAAATCTAGCTACAAAGCACGCCGTAAGTGAGAAAATTACTGGCCTCAATTCTCGTTCGTCGCCTCACTATGGAGTGGGAATTCCGGATTACGGGAGAGCAAGCAGGTTTTCGCCCAGTAGGGGACTGTATAGACCATATATTCACTCCGCTAGATCAGCGCCACACATACCGCAGACCAACAATAGCTGTGTTCCTCGATTTAACCAGTGCGTCGATTGATCGACTCTGTTTGCGGAAACCTGTTCCCACAAAAGGTGTACATTTTACCTTCGTTGTACTCGAACACCACAGGCCGCATAAGTGTATGCGGTGACTTGTCACATATCTTCCAGACAACAAGTGGTGTACCTCAGGGTAGTCCAATCCCTCCCTTTTTGTTCAACTTCGTCGGGACTCCATCATGTAGTTCCTTTGTGGAATGTAATGATTTTAGGCGTTTAGGTTCTGTCTGTTGGGAAACTAGTTACTGTTGACTATGCTGTTTAACAATGATGGGGTGGCAAGGTTAACAATGAATAACCTCTCTGGAATAGTCCCATCATTTGGTATGCGTTCGCGCCTTCAAAGTACAGTGTTGTTACAGGACCACCAGCCACTTGACACAACCCCTTGACCCTTGATAGCCAGGGACTAGACGTAGTTCATCAAATCAAGTACCTTGACAGCCGTATCAGCAACGATGGGCGTATAAGGTAAGTTCACGTATCACAAAAGCTAGAACCGCCTTCTTGAATCTGCGACATGCGTGGTGTCAAAAAAGGTGTGTATAGAATGCCACAATGAGAGTCGTCCTAGACTATGGTAGTGACACACGGCTCCTTCGAATTGAGGACCTGCGACGTGCATCGTTACCTACGAAGCGTCGCTGGTGTCGGATGGCACCAGCGTATTCGCAACGATGACATGTATGGGCGAACACTAGGTGGTGATAATCAGGCTCGTTCTTTATAACGACACATGACATCGGATAAGCTGCGTCGGCTCTAGCACGTACAATGTATGCCCTGTCACAGATCACCGAGGAAGGTCCTGTTTTGCTTGCCAGGTGGCCCAAGACTCGAGGTGGGCGAAGTTCAACCTGGCAGCTTGAAATCGAATCCAGGCTGACCACGTGCTCCGCCTGGTGCTTGACACGAGGCGTTAGAGGACATGACTCGCAGCCGGCACCAGTGGTGTGTTTGCTGTCGTGTTCATGTTGGACTGCTTGTGTAAGGTGCTTTTTGCTGAGTTGTCAGTGGGAAAATGGTTGATTATGACGCGGGGTAGTGAAAGCCTCAAAAGTAGGTAGCCGTCTCGCCAATGCCGCCTTATCTTTACATGATCGCCAGATATTTGTGAAGGTGTGTTGTTGACAAGATGTAGGCGCTTGACACTGCCTCTTATTATTCTCCGTTCTTTAAGTCACCATGGTTGTACGGTAGCCAAGCATCTGTTCAAATGGCTGATGTATTGCTTTTGTTGATGATGCCTATTCTCGAATGATCAGGATAAATATCAGTGCAGGGCAATTCAGCTGAGCAACTATGATCCGGGCACCGAGGTGCGGTAGATCCAGTTGTCACAGCTCAATTCGCAAGAATAGTAATGTATAACAAAGGCGAGATAGTGGGGTTGAATGCAAACAGAATATATAAAAATGGAAGCAAGAAGGAAGTGCGTTAAATTAAACAATATGGGACGAAAACTAACAATCAGATGCAAGAAAACGAACGCAGGAACGCCACTGACTGCGTGACTGCACCATGTCTGACACAGTCTCCAACTATTGGTGTGGACCATCCCGACGCTCCCACCAGCCTGACCAAGCAAAATGGAAGGGAGTTTAGCAGTGCTACAAGCGGGCGCGGTCGACAGAGTCGAAGGCGACTTTCAAGTTAAGGAAAACCACCACTGTCGGTCATTTGTATGCGTCCCTGCTCTAAAAAGTGGCGAAGAGTAAATATGTGTTTGATGCAACCACGGTCCTCACTGGGACCAGTAAGTCGTTGAAATATTATAACCGTGAGGAGTTTGAATGCAATGGAAGCAAGTCTGATGCCTCGATTATTTTCGCACAAAGTGCCCTGACCCTTCTTGAAAGTGGGCAAGACAGATGATAATCGCGTCTGAAGGCACTTCTTCAGTGTCCCAAATTGTGTTACAAAGAGAAGAAAGTCCAGTCAACAAAGAGTCACCACCATAGCTAAGATGGGAGATCGTCGTCAGGTCGAGGAGCCTTGTTTCGTTTTAACACAGAGAGCTCATGTCGAATCTCTTCCAAACTGGGAGGTGTGACTTTCAATCCCCAAGTCGGCTTAGATGATTCGGCAAGCGACAGTGTCGCAGCTGGCCTGCTGATCTACTCTTCAAATTGTCCCGCCCAACGGGATAGTCGACGACGCTGAGAATGGATCAAATGTCCATATTTCTCAGACACTGTCTAGCAAACTGACGGCTTTCTCGGACCCGTGTTCTGGATGAGCTGGAATTGCACCCGACTGCTTCCAAGAGCACTGGCTTTCTCCATCTCACCTGCCCTTGCCACCCACCAACGTTCGCGAACCATTCGAAGACTCTTTCTCAAACGTTGTTTCAAAGAGTTACAGATACGCTGAAAGTCAGTGCGCATTGGAACATGTTTCCATGCTTCGATCAAGCTGATCGATGCATCAGAAATCCATTCGTAGTTACCACGTCTCAAGTTGAGCGCACAGCATGCGTCAAAGACATTCTTCATGACACGATCCCAACCAGCGTTCGGTGCACCGAACCACCGGCTGTGAACTGTTAAGTAAGCAAAAAACGGTGGAGTAAGACAAACTATATAGCATAGTATTAGACTGAAACGGAAAGTATGGAAATCAAAAAGCATTGAAACAATAAAACTACGCAGGAAGCCAAAGTAAAGTTTAATTTATGGTATGTTGTAAACTGGCCGGATTTAGTATCCTGAGAATAAAATTGAGCTACCAACAAATATGATTAAAAAACCAACCCGATTCCACGCTCCGAGCGCTCGAACTGGGTCGCTTCGACCGAGTAAGTGCAGGCGATGTAGACGTAGGAGATGGTGGCACCCACGCAACTCCTAGCGCGGCTCTTGTGGCTTTCTTTGTTCGATGTGCTTGTTGGCGAGTTTTGGTAACAACGCTTGACTGACTGCACATAAGCTGCACTAAATTCCGACCCTCAACACTGAGGTGCTTTGCTAGGGCCTGTTCCGTAGCTTCTAACGTCACCAGTAAGCGGTCTGGTCCGCAGTGCAAACGGGCTGCGATAGTCGAACCAATAAGGTGCTGTGCGTTTTCTGGTCGCATGTTACCCGACATGAGAGCACGACGAAGGCGGGCCTGCAAGTAAAATGTAGGGGATCCACGCAAACAATAAGAAAACAGCTGTACCGAGTAAACAAACCAAGTTGAATAAACTAAAAAATGTTATGAAGACTAGAGAACTTTCAATGGTAACGCGGCATGCTAAACTGTCAGTCAAAAAGAAACATGAACAGAATACAACCTACAGAAAAGGAAGTTACACTGGGGAGTTGCAATGTAGCGAGTGGTGTCTCCAAGATCCTGATTATAAGGCAACCAAGGAGGACAAATGACGTAGACTCAATTGTTAACTCTGATGGATCAGCCATAACTGATCGTCCGAGCTTTAACGATTACTTTGCCTCTGCTTATGCAAGTAATGAGAATTAAGGGGTCGGTCTGCAGCTTCTAGTACATAACCGTAATACACTTCCTGCCGTAGAATTTAATTTCAGCAGTACTCAACTTAATCTGGTTAGACAATCATGCTCTCCAGTCCCCGACAAAATTCCACCAGTTCTTCTCAAACATGATGGACCTGACATCCCCATCTTCCTTCTCACCATATTCACTCACAATGACCAACGGAATTTTCCTCTGCAACAGAAACAATCTGTAGTAGTCTCACGGTACAAAGGCGGCACAATGCAGAACGTCATTATCATCATCATCATCGGGTAAGTGCTGCTTGTTGACCGGTCTGTAGCAATGTGCGTACATTGAGGTATGCCAATCTGAAGGAGGATCAAGGGTTCCAAATGAAGGCCGATGAACTGGGCTTGACCGCTTCCTTAGAAAAGGGGTTGTCGACAAGGCAGGAGTGACGCTCCGCGTTTTCATGTGAGTTGAAACTAGAAGATAAATGCCTACCACGCAGCATAGCTCAATGGATCTCTAAAGCACGCAAACCATCGCACCACGGTAAGGTCCGACTTCTGCGATGACAATGCAGAATGTGAATAGCTAGCGTCCCATACACCATACTTCCATTGTCTCCAGGATCATGGAACGCACAGTTAAAGAGTGCGTAATGAAACACACTTAGTAAACATTAACATAGATGTCTGCAACATAGATCACGCACCACCTGCCGACTAGGTTTGCAATGGAAGACTTTGGAAAACCATGGTCACCGCATTTCTTCACATACAAAAAGCAGTTGACCGGGTGCTTCATCACATACCCTGGCGAAATATGGGGACCTATATACTACAAATATTATTTTAAAATGTATATCCTCTAGCATCGAAAGAAGTAAACAAAATCAACAACAGCTCGTCCAAGGTTAAACCGACAACCAGTGGGGTAATCCAATGAAGTATGTTAGGCCGCCCACATCGATTCTAGTTTCACAAAAATGACCAATCCAGACACAAAATATTTGGTAAACCATTCCTCTTTGCTAACGATATTAAAACCGTCTACTATTTCGACCCCGAACAAGACGGTTTCGATCCAACATACATTTAATCCGATCTGACCTAGTTAGGAAGATGGAGCTTTGCCTGAAAGCTGTATTCCGTTGTAGGTCAATGTAATGCATTACTCTATGCTTGCGATGTTTCTATTGCCCACCTGACTCTTGATAATACTGCTATTTCCACTTGTGGCATAGTTCTGGATTTTAGACTGAGGTATCCTATTACTTTCAACTTCATGGAACAAGCTACTTCCAAAAAATGCCTGCTCATATTGTTATAACATTAATCCTGAAGAAATGTATACTGGAGATATTTAACGTTTACATAAGACCAATTGTATTAGGCAATCTGCGTAAAGTGTATACTTGTCCATTAAAAACAGTCAGATATGTTTTACAAGGCAGTTTAAAAATATGCTTGCAAGTATGAACTACGTGAGCATTGCAATACACTAAAGCTAGAACCCATAGTTTATGCCTATTTAGACGTCAAAAGATGTTGCATAGAAATTTCTTTTCGTCAAGCAATTACAATTGAGATGCATAATCACTGGAATAACAGCGATGCAGGGATTTGTCTTGTATGCTTCGACTGCAAGAACGGTGACAATCGATGCCAAATTAAACCGCTGTCATAGACCACTAGGCCTGAAGTCAGCTGACCAAACCATGGCCACGGGCGTTAAACTTGCACTGGTACACGCTGTTTACATATTTCCGGCTTCCATCGCTTGATCGCAGTTGCTTCTGCCGTGGCCCGTAGGCATATATATATATATATATATATATATATATATATATATATATATATATATATATATATATATATATCGTGCGCACAGGCCAGTTCCTACGCATTTTTGGACACATCACTGTCACGTCTGGTGCGAGCTTGCTCTCCGCTCTCATCTCAGTTCGCAGACACGAGACTTGGGGATGATGCACACTTATCTGTCGGTTGTGTGTGATTCCACACTAGTGTCACATGCCTTTTGACTATGACCTAAAAGACGATTCATCCTAGCAACATGCATTGTGTTCTGCTGGTTGAGAGATACCTGTCCTGAGACAAACCGTGAAAAACAAGCGGGCAGTAGATGTGCCCTCGTGCCAATAGAGAAAATCCACGGGAGTCGTACTCAACACCAGTACAGCTGAGCTTAGGACCCACACACTGTAGTCTTTCATGGGATCGTCAGCTACCCCTCTCGCCAGAGGAGGATAATGATAATTGAGTATGCCTAGTATACAGGCAGTACAATGGATGATATAACTGATTATTCAGGCTCGACAGACGGCGAAAACAAGTAAAAATCCGGTACCCTATCGATATAAGTCTAGGTATGTAGCTATGGAATGCAAACTGAGTAGTAATACTGATGAATACGGTGCACACAAGAGGAATACAGATAACATTCACACAACGTGATAATCCGGAATGAAAGAGTGAGTTCAATAAGCCATACCAACTGCAAAAACCCGGTAGATGAAGCATAAAAATAAATTTGGATATATGTGCAACACACCTGAGTTCTTTTCCGTCGTGTCCTGGCCCGCGCTGATTGCTCCTTGGTCAATTTGATGCCAGCAAGCCTAGTGCGAGCCGCTGGCGGTCCATCCTCAGATCCTTGCGCAAGTGGCAGGTTAGCAGCAGATAAAAATAGCAGTCGTTCGCGTTGACGGATCTCGCGGGATAGATGACGTGAGGCGATTCGGAGATATGCCAAGTAAGCTGGCGTACTAGTTTTCCTCTCTGAATCCTCTTGATCCGAACTGATCACGCGCTTGACGCGTGTCACACTTACCATTTCAGACAGCTCAGTTACAGGCGGATGTGGCAAGTGAAGTAACAAACCCGTGATCAGTTTGAGAGTTAAAGTCCGCTAGAATTTATCAATTAAAGGAGAGAAGTCAAGATAATTTAAACTAACTGAGCGGATCTAACAAGTCAAGGAACTTAACCGCGATGGAAGCACTGAATCAAAGCTACCCAAGATTTCAAGATACAGACTTTTACGACAGTGAACTAGAATTAATCATTAAAATGAGAAAGTGAGAGAGCTAAAATGTCATGGAAGAAGACATTGTAACATGAGAAAAAACAAGAGGACCCAAAGGGGCAGTACAGTGTGATCAAAACTGGTAAGAAACACTTTGTATGCATTTTACAAGCTGATTTTTTATTTCCTTTTGTCATTCGCAAAGTTTGATGCATTAAAAATGTGAGGCAGTGCAATTTTGCAGTTTTTTTTCAATGATCTGTTGCGGGCCATATTTACAGTCGTGCCAAGCTACTGTCACCCCTGATTCGTGAGTCCCTATCAAAAAAGACGTACGGGTCCGATGGTGGTCAAACGTGACGTCTTCGATTTTATGTGCTGTCATCAAATGGAGGGCCGACGATCACACTGTCGCCTCCAGCCCAATGCTGCACGAGCGAACTGGGCACGATGGGATAAACGTTCAGATGAAATACGCAGGACGTGACCGGGTCATCTGAAGTGGCGTAAAAAAACAGCTTGCTGAAGGTAATATTCGTATTCCCCATGGCGCGAATTCTAACTTAATCGCTGCAGACACGCTACCACCACACACGTGCAATCCTCTTTAAGCACCCACAGTTGTAGGCCAAAAGCCGACACATGTCAGCCAGGAGAACGGCCTACGAATAGCTTCCGCACATCAACACTGCTCGAATGGAGGCAATGTAAACCCGAGAGACCCTCTGACAGCGCTATAAATATTTCAGATTGACAAACGCCGACCAAACTTTGGCGATGCAAAGAGAAACTTCCTTTCCAATAGTGTCTCTAGAAGACATGCAAGTCTCCAGGTAGACAAAGCTATCCACATGTTCAAGCTGTGTGAGCACGAGAACGGGTATGCGCCAATCCAACAGCAGCAACTTACACCTAGATGGGAGAAAACGCACCATATTTAAATGTTACAGCCACCAAACCGTTTGGAATGGTCCACCAAGTAAGGTGATATCATCAGCATAGTCCGAACCGGTAGCTCGGTTGCCTCTTAGTGGCTCCATCGCAGAATTTGGGTAACCTTCCAGACCTGTAGATAGGACGTCTTCAATTACGAAAATGAAGTGGGACAAGGACATAGGGCAGCCATCTTGAACATTGCTATTAACATTGAATGACGAGGAGACATGAGTTAAGATTAGCAGTATACTTTCCGGGGACCCCGTTCATTAGCAAGTAAGGTCACATAGCAGGTCGATCAGCTGAGTCAGGTGCAGCACGGGTGTTTAGAAATGCGACGATGGTGAGTCTCCTGTAGAGGTGGGGGCGCTCGAGGAGTTAATGGAGCGTGAAGGTTTGATCCACACAATAACAGTCAGGAGGGAAGCCAGTTTGTTATTCCCGGCACTGTGGTTGATGAGTGGGGATAGTCTACGAAATGGAATAGATGCCAACAGCTTAGAGGCTCGATGATTGAAACAGGAAGTGTGAGCGCCTTTATAGAAAATCGGGACAATAATTTATTCGCCCCAAGAGAAAGGCACTTTTTCTTCATGCCAGATTTTAGAGAACAGAGATCAGCTGGTCAATGATTTTTATGCCACCAAAACTGAAGGGTTTTGGAAAAGTTAGTTTGAATGGACAAGCTTCCGCCTCGCTGGGTAGATCAAGTGTGACAGGCAGGTGGGTTTACAGGACACACAAGCCATTCTGAGGCGAACATGGCAAATTGGTTGTCTCAGAAAGTCGTACGGGAAACAGTAAGGAAAGTTGTTTGACAATGGAATGTAAGTCCTAGTCGTAAAATTTCCAACACAGGTAAAATAAACGGCGTTGAACATTGCGAAAAATTCTTGAATCCGACAACAAACTCACCTGCAAGTAGCAATGGGCCCGATGATTAAGTTCATCAAGAGCAATGCGATTAGCCCGACGAAATAGACGTAGCACGGATTTACGACCGGATGCCAAGTGCAGTAGTTGTGCCAATTGAATTAGATTGGCGATGAGCTGCACAGAGAAGTAGCAAAGGAATATCGTGAGTGTAATATTGTTAATATGTATTCCGTTACGGTAAGCCAATCAAAAACGAAAACAACTGGAAATGCAAGGTGCGTGGTGCGACGCGGCATGTCATTGGGAAAACGAGCCACACTATCCCTGTTAAGTGTTTATTGTTCCCACACAGATGCACACAATGGGTGAAGTAGGTAAACACTTGATGACCAGCAACGACTCTGAAAAGACGGATGTTAAGAATGATGTACAAAAGGAGGGCAGGGTGATACTAAGAGCAGAATAGCAAGATCGACAGTTGACTATGGCTGCTGTATTTCCCTAGAGTATAAACTAACCGTGTCCAACGGATGTACTAACACATGCGCTTTTCGGCACTAATATTTCGTTCGTTTACAATCATACTGCCTTGACTTTTTACATGTTTTGACGAATATGAATTCGTCACCGTTCCCTGATTAGCCAATACGAAACAAAAACATAAGAAAATTAAGCAAAGGGATTTTACGCAAAAACAACGCGCAGGAAAAAGCTCGGAATTGTGAGCATCTTTCTTTTAGTGCAAATATCCACTCGCTTCTTGAAAAGAAGTGGAGCACTAAAGTGCAATGGGCTCTCGTGAATGTGGTATTTTACACACCAATATTCCAAAGAAAACCCAGAACCACGAGACGCTGTGGATTCAGTGGTGGATGGATATATCGGTTGTCGTGAACACCGCTTATGCACATATACCAGAGCCGTGGTGGTGATGTTAGCACTGTCAACTCTTCATGGTGCACATCCACGAAAGAAATTTTCCGATACAGCACGCAACATAACAGCTGTTCGACCGTGAAATGCAAACCGGGATACAAGCACAGTCGTCACTCAATTCAGTTACCTAATATCCCTATTCCCCCTGGGTGTAGAAGCTCTGGGGTTCGAGACATTGACGACGGATTAACAGCTTCTGTCCTTGAATACTTGGAGTTCGTATGTAGATGACACTGATTAAGTTTCAAAATTTCCAAACAGCCTAGCGGCAATCCTAGACAAAGTTTGTTAAAAACCAAAATGTTTACTCTTGCGCCGCTTGAGAAGTCTGATCATGCCGTCTTTTTATTGATTGCAAGGAGAACAAAAAAGACGCCACCCGTTATAAAAGCTGAAAATTCGGACAGAGTATATGTTCTCCTCAAGACAATCAGCGACTGTGCCTCCCAAGATTTTAGATTATTTCAAAGCGCGGACGTATCAAACTGATGTGACCAGTTAACTAATTGCTTAAACTTCTGCTGTCCAGTTGAAACAAGTTCCATCCGTGCAGACAAATTATCCTCACGAAACCACAAACAACTGCGCGGATTCGATAAAAAAAGCTTCCAAACGCGTAGAAGTTGCCGCAGTAAAATGCCTATGGACCGACATAAAAATCAAACTGCGTCGCCTTAATCACAATGGGAAACAATAATCACCGATAAATAAGGTGATAAAAGCAATAGTTCAGTGTGGTAAAAATTATCCGCTGATCTACAACTAAACTCAGACCGTTCGCTTGCTGGGAACAACTTAGAAGCTTGCAGGGAATTAATCTCTCAGAAGTCGAACAAGGCACCTAGTCCGAATAAACTATCTTCTGTAGCCCTCATGAAGTCTGCTGGTTAACTGGCATAGCGATTCGCCGACTTAGAGCGACACAAAATAGCTGAGTCTGTGAAGCGAAAGTATCACGCCAGTGCCAAAGAACAGAACATACCAATAGCGAACAATTGTTAGCACGTTGGCTGCTTTGCAGACTTGTGAGGCTTATCCTTGCTAGCTCAGACGCAATTCGCTAACTCGCATCAGCAGCTCAAAGTCCACCTTAGATGCGGTGATTTGTCCAATACATACATTCTGTGCTTTACGTAAATAATAGAAACAAATCCATCCGCATCTGGTTCCTGGACTGCATTCACAGTTTTGTTAACTGCATTAGCAAGCCACTTGCTGATGGACTGCAACTAAAGTTGAATACGGTAATTGTTTTCTTCACACAGTCGGCCGGTGGCCGATTGGTTGGCACGTTTGCTTTCCAACCATAAGGTCACCGGTTCGAATCCGCGTAGGGGTGGGCGTCCTCGCGGTATACTTAGCCCGCGCGCGACTGGTGGTGGTCGCGCGGCAGCGAAGCGCCGTTACGGCGTATAAGCTGACACATTTCTTCACACAACCAAAGTCAATGATCTCGGCGACAGCACTAGTGGCTGAAAATAAGAACAAGAATTTGACGAATTTAGAAAATTCAAAACATTATCAGGCATCAATGTCTCCGTGTAGCCAGAACATACAGGAGACTGGGAAGTAGGTGTTAGGTTGTTTGGTGTATTCGGTCCTGCCTTTTGGTATACGATCGAGATATGATATAACCTATCCCAACAACAGCAAGTTAACAGGCGGTGAGAGTCTGAAGCCTAAGTTGATTCATGTAATAGTCAAGTCAATATTTATGCACCCGCACGGGTGTATTATCCGCAGTTTACACTATCTACCACAAATGTGATAAAGCAATGTCAGTAAATATGAAATTTACAAATGAAAAAGGGAATGGAGTACACACATGTCACTTAAGTAAACAGCCCCAAATCTCTGAGCAACGACCACATATTTAGAGAAAGAATTACAAGATCCTTTATCCAGTTGGAGAGACTAAGTTTTGTTAAAAGGTTGCTTGACAGCTCGTGATAAATAGCAAGTTATGCGCAGTGTCAAGGATAATTATTCAAATAATCGGTGGTACTGAGCGGCCTCAGTGACCTTGCAATTGTTCAGCCAAAGAATTTGTCAAAATATTCATACAGGATTGATACGTTCGCAGCGGATAGTGCAAAAACGATGTTTCAGAGAGAGAGCGGCAACGGCTAATTCAAAAGTTCCGGCTTTGATTAGTGTCAACAGAATAGAAATCGGTGGCTAATCTGTCGCAACAAAAGAAACACCTTTTGATCGCGGAAAAAACTTGGGGCGCAAATGCTTAGGTGTTGAAATACAGCTGGACTTCGGTAGAGATAGATTGTCATAACCTAACATGCACTTGTGATACGGTTAGTTCGTTCACTGACCAACTTCATGGCAAGGAGCGCCTTTTGAGAAGAAAAATCCAGAATCACACCTGTGCGGACAGTCGTAATTGCAAGCGCATCGCCATACACTGTCGATAAGGTTGCCGAAGCATCAGTGCGAAGCATATACACTCTTCGCGTCTCTGATGATACCAAGGTATTTATGGTGTTGTTATCGCTCTCAACATACATGCTGAAGATAATGTACTAGACTGAATACCGGTAAACAGCCGCATACGTGTGGTTCGACTTCGAACCTCTATTAGGGTTCATAAGCACCTTATGAAGACAAGGTGCCTTTTCATCGTTTCTGTTTACGCTCCTACTGACTGCAGTTGGGAGGGTAACAAAGATGATTTCTACTACCATCTTTCATCTCTTCTCTGCATGGGGAAAGCTACTGATATCGTGACTGTTGCTGGTTACTTGGATACCCAAGTGGGTCGTCTTTCAGACTATGGATAACACCTGGGAGGGCGCTTCGCAGTCTATGCACGCCGATTCCTGTAACTGTGCGCCGACCACAATCTTTATGTTAGCAGCACTGCTTACCAACACAAGCGTTCACACCGCATCACCTGCCTCCTACCGAATTCCTCAATGACCTGGACCCAAATCGATCATATTGCCCTCAGCAACAGCTGAAGCACCTCAGTCCAAAACTACCGGTCAATTTGGAGCATATGCCTGGATTCCGACCATGCTCTAGTGCGCGCGTTCTTCCAACTTCAAAGATGCGGCTAGCTCCTGACCTTACTTGTAACTTGAACTCGCAGTCTGCGGTTCAACAATATTATAACAAACTGGCCCGCCAATCGGCAGTGATGAATGAGATTGATGAGCCGAACGCTGACTCGGATCGTCTCAAGTGTGTCAGGAAGAATGCTTTTGACGCTTGCTGAGACGTCGTAACTGTGAATGGATCTCTGAAGCATCGATCAGTTTGATCGACGGGCACTGAAGTTCAGCGTATCAGTAAATTCCTGAAACGACGTTTGAGGACGAGTCTTCGAATCGACAGCGAACGCTGGTGGGAGGCAAGGGCTGATGAGATGGAGAAAACCCTTGCTATTTGGAACAGTCGAGTGCTATTCCAGCTCATCCGGAACATGGTTCCGGGAAAGCCATCAGTTAACGAGACAATGGCTGAGAAAGATGGACAGTCGATCCATTCTCAGCCTCGTCCACTAGCCCGTTAGGCGGAACATTTTGAGGAGCAGACCAACAGTCCTGCTGCGACACTGGCGTTTGCTTGATCACTTGCCGGACGTTGGAAGTATGTGATACCTCCCATTTTAGAAGAGATTCGACATGAGCTCGCCGTTCTGAGAAACTGGTCTCCTGGACCCGACGACCTTCCTCCATCTTTGCTAAAAGTTGGTGGTGACTCTTTGTTTACTGAACTCGCTTCTCTATTTAACACGATTTGGAACAATGAACAAGTCCCTCCACGGTGACTGTCAATTGCCGTACTCATCTTCAAGAAGGATCAGCGTACTTTGTGCGAAAATCATCTAGGCATTAGGCTTATTTCCATGACCTCAAAACTTCTCACGGATATCATCCTTCGAAGACTTACTGATCCCCCTGAGGATAGAATCACTGAAAGCCAGGCTGGCCTCCACCCTAGCCGTGGATGCATCGAACACATATTTACTCTTCGCCAATTGTTGGAGCAGAGACACACATACAGGCGACCGACCGTGGTGATTTTCCATGACTCGGAAGCTGTCTTCGACTCTGTTGACCGAGCCCACTTGTGGCACTGCTTATTTAGGAAAGGCGCGCCGGCTAAATTCCATTCCATTATGCAATCTCTCTACCGTGATTCCTGAGGCCGTGTAGGGGTTTACAGGAAACTGTCTCCTGAGTTCCCCACGACAAGCGGAGTTTGACAGTTACCCTATATATCCGTTCCTTTTCAACTTCATTGTAGAAATGATCATGAACCAATCAGTTCCCTCCGGTTCTGCCGGAGTGGAAGTTCTGCCAGGTGACCGACTGACAAATCTGGAGTATGCGGACGATATAGCTCTTCTTGGGTCTGACAGTGTCTATCCAAGTACCACTGCACGCTTCGGCATGTTCTTTGCACCTTCAAAGTGCAAAGTACCGCTGCAGGACTAGACTGACACACCTCTGGTTCTAGCTATCACCGAACAACCACTGTAGATGGTGGCACGGTTCACTTACCTTAGTAGCTGTATGACGTCTGGTGGTCATATCACTGGGGAAGTTACTTCGCGTATTAGCAAGGCCCCTGTGGCTTCCCAGAGACGGCAAGATATCAGCCTGTCAGTGAAAGTTAGGGTGTATAACACTGCGGTAAGGCCGGTGTTACTGTATGGATCAGAGACCTGGCCAGTTCGCTTGGCTGTGTTTGACCACCGGTGCCTGCGGAGTATTGCTCACGTCTGGCGGGAACACCGACTGTGCAATGCTGAGGTCCGCCAATTAGTTTTTGGCACCCCACTGGAGTGTTTGCTGAATCTTAATCGCTTAGGTTGGTTAGGCCATATCCCCTGTGTGACCGTTTATCGGATTCCACGGCGTGCATTATACACTGTGGCTGCACCAAGTTGGGCGATACCTCGAGGTGGCCAGTCCATGACACGGCATAGTGTCATGAAGAAATAGACTGAGAGATTTGGTCAGGCTGGTTCGTGCCGTGTACGTGAATGGGGGCCTCGGGATGGTCCACAACAATGGTTAGAGACCGTATCTGACATGACGTGGTCACGCAGTCAGTGGCGTTCTTGCATTCGGCTTCTTTCATCTGGTTGTTAATTTTCGTCCCATTCTTGCTTTCATTTTCTCTACATTCTATTTGTATTCAACCCCACAATCTTGCCGTTGTTAGTTACCGTTATTCTTACGGTGTCAGTCATGGCAACTGGATCCACCGCACTTCGACGCTCAGATGACGGTTGATCAACCGAACTGAACTGAATATAAAAGAAGTGGTTCGGTCAGCTAAGGGCGCAATCTCGCCTGGGAGTTTAGCTGCCTGGAATGGGCGCACGAATCGAAGGCGCGAAACGGCCAGACAGACATTCCGTTTACTGTCTCATGCATTTGTGACTTGCAATCCTACTGCCTCATCTTATCAGATCTTGCGATGGGACGCCACACACCGAGATAACCGGTGGACAAAAACGTGAAAACAAGACAGCGGTGCAAATTCTACAGACACTAGAGTGCTGTAGTTCCAAAATGTTTGTGGCCTTAAAATGATCATGTAGCATGGACGAGTACACCAATGCCGTGTTCAACCCAATAAACCGTCCCGCGCGAAATAAGACAAATACGGATTGCACAGGGGGTTCTCAAATCTGCCCCTATGAACGTCAACTTCCTGCGTCATTAGGTGAAGCCAGGTGTGCGAATGAATAGACGTTCGCGCTGGAACTACAAACTTCATGGTCGTCCGATTCTGTGCCATTTTCGCGAAAACTGCATGTGGCTTAACTGAAATGACCTGAACAAATCACCAAGGTGACCTATGCGAAGAATCGCACTGATGCATACTACTCTGCCGCATAGGAGCGCGAGATATTATTATGCGGGTGAACTGGAAACGCAACTGACATAAGGCGGTGAAAAAAAGCAGCAAGGCACTGGCATTTGATCTCTTCTCGAAGCTCCGATTACCGTGGTAATTCCGGTCAAGAAGAATGAATTTTCCGGGATTTCGATGCCACTCAATGATGAACGTAGCAAAAACGGTGACGACGATCAATGTTACGCACTCACGAGGGGATCGAAATGGAATAAAGATGAACAAAATCAGGACAACCGGCCTCTCGCAAAGAAGCAGTGCGTCCAAACAGGGAGACTAGTTGTGAATAAGGTAGAGAACGGCAATTGATGATGAAACTCACTGCATCGGACCACTCATCTGCCATAATTTCTTTTGCATCAAATTCTAGTTGATACAGAGATTCTTGTAGTAAGCGCTGCAACTGAAGGAGACAGAATAAAGTGGTCAAGAGAGCTATGAAGCAGCGAAGCTATGGATTCCAGTCAAAGTTGTCGTGGCATGAGTTCCTGTTGTAAAAGATCACTAGGAGACTGAGTAAACACGATGCGATGAAAGACCGAGAAACCAGATGGCGGAAAGCTAAGGAGTGTAACAAATTGGTCAAAAAACAACTTTTACGGAATTCGAAATCTGAAGAAAGACGGTCAGGTGAGATACACTTTAGCAGCAGCGATCGAAACGTAAAGGTGTTAAGTGGCTTTGGAAGCGGACAGTTAGTTGGGACATGATGCACAGTGTACAAGTGAAGAGGAACTTCAATGGTTGTTCACTCTCGACAGACGAGCACGGACTGCACATGTGTAAAATAGACCAGCTACCAAACGGGATTTCGGTCAGAGTGGAGCTGTTAAATTAGGAAGCAAACTAGGAATAAAAACAATTAAAATTATGCTTATCCTGAGTACATGATAAGATAACGGCAGAATGCCGCATAAAAATGAGTAGGTCTTACCAATGAAATATATACACTACGATTTCTGTTCAGCTCAGTTAGCAGAGCGGATTTGGTTTTCACTCCGACAGCTTCAGAGACGGAGTAGTGCTCATTTGATAGACCAGTTTGGTTGGCGACCACTTCCAACTTCAGCAAAGGAAAAAGACAGCGTGTCGCCCACGCTCGAACACCACGGGAGCCAGAGCATAGCAAACTCGTCTGTCCCAGATCAATACCGGTTATAACTTTCGACATTTTTTGCGAGAAAAGCGTCGCATATTGTTTTTGCCTCTTCAGAATGTCTGCGTATGTTGATTTTTTGATCCGCTTCATTTCAATGGATTCATCAGTAAACGGCAAGCCGAGAAGAGATCGCCACACAGGAGTTAAGGTGGCCGAGGCAGTTAGTGGGCCAAGGCGCTCTTCGGTGTCTGTGTCGTCAGTAACTACCGAAATGAGACGATGGAAGAGCCGCAGTGAGTGCTCCAATGAACAAGCCACTAGGAGATAGTGATTTTCAACAGCCTGGGAATACAAGGAAATGTGGGAATCCATCAGTATAGTAGCTCATGCGTTTCCCTGTAGACACGATAGGTCAGCATGTATGTTGGAAACTCGTAAGTAAATGGAACAAGTTTCACGGCGTTAAAAGTAGATAAGTCACAGAGACTTGCTAACATTATGTTATGCGCTAAACGCGGGACGATGGGCATGCACAAAGAGTGGACAAAGGACCGCAAAACAGTGCTCACAATGTGACATTTTGTCCAGCCGTTAAGCAACCCGCATCCTCTAGCTTAGGTGACAACGAAGTAGCAATGTGAGAACAACCCAGTACATGAGAACGATTAGGCGGCTGACAGGACCACCAGCAGACGTCATCGCACGCAGCCATCAATGACAAGCGCTGACCTAGATAAACAAGTTCAAACAGTGGAGCACACAAAGAGACGTTCGATCAGGTGTTGCGAAAATGACATGTTGCATGAGAAGCAGTAGCGCAAATGCAATTAGTCCAATGTGTGTGCAGCGCCGGTGTCTGTCTGACTTAGCCCCGGTTAAGGCACCCACTGAGATAGTGGTTAGCATATACCGGGTGAGGAATCAGGATTGCATTCGGCATGTTCATTTTTCGCAAAATAGACATATGGGCGAAGAAGTCGCAGTAGTAGGCATGAGATCCTAATTATTAATAACGTACATGTGCTTTAGAGACGTATAATGGAGTTCATTCTGCTATATGGAAAAAAGCGACAGCGTCACAAAAGCGTTGACTCACTGATTTGCATGTTTTTTGATTTTGAATGTCATCGCCGCCAAGAACGTCGTCACACACCACCCGAGCGGCTTTGTCAGCTTCCTCGAAGTGAGTTGGTTCTCGCTCGTCGCTTGACCCATCAATATCCGATAAAATTGCACTGTGATCAGCCTCTTCCGAATATTGAGCAATTTCCTCGGGAGTCTGTGTTAGATCATCAACGTCGTCGTCATCGCTGTAGTGATGGACAGGAGATTCCACATTTGCGCCTTCCGAATGTTCAGTGAGTGTTGATACCCATTTTGCATCTTCGGCAGCTACCTGAGCAGCAGCCAATTCCTCGGTTGGGATGGCATCGCCGCTCTCGAACAAAGGGTTTAGACCTGAACAAGCGCGAACGGCCGAATCGGTTAAAACTAAGCTGAACAATTCGGCAGAGAGCGACGGTATGGTGCAAGTGCCTAAGGAACGGAACAGAGCATTTCTGCAAGCAGCTGTAGATAGACATGGCTGACAATCAAGAACTGATGATATTACTTGTAACCCAAGCAACCGTGCGGAGCACCTGGTAGTTACCGGAGCCGTAATGAATGCGATCAGATAGTCCCGAAAGTAAGATTCCGCCAACGGAGCCGGTAAACGGGTGAATAGTAAACGTAGCACAGCAAGCATACCGACACGAATCGAACGAACTGGCTCTCGTTCGATTGCGGCACCCACACTGACCAAAATTGCCTCATCCAAGTGGTTGGTGGTCAACCGGTCAATAGGTAGATCAGACACCAGGCCCGTCAAAAGGCTGACTGCAGACGAACGCCCGGTAGGCTTACGGTGTTCCAACTGTATCAAGCAAAACGCAACGAAACTCTGTACAAATTTAGCCTTGTGTGGATAGTTTAATAGAAATGTGACTAAACAACAACGCGCCTCTGCACGAATGTGATCAGAAGGGGATGTAATGGCCAAGTGTTGCAGTCGTTCAACAAGGTCAAGTAAACGGGACCCTCCACCACTCCCAGTGATTGGATTATGATCTTTATCAAGCGGTTTCGCGACCACTAAACGAACGTCAGGAGAAAGCAGGTCTGTTCGCATCTCAGAATCGTTCGAAATTGTCAGGAAACCAGACTCCTCTTTATGCAAAACCGGATCACGAAGGCGACGCTGTAAAATCGCTTGAAGGAGCGATAGTGACGGTGCGGTAGCAGCGTCTCTAGTCAGTTCAATATCAACAGAATCCAACAACGTCAAAAGCTGTGAACGGGATAGCGGATAACCGATACGATGACGAACCAGGCAAGACAACGCTCGATACAAGTTGGAAGCAAACTGCTGAGTGTGGGCATCTGCTGCTGCGGTCTTCGTAGACAGGAGACCTGAATTTAGCGCCAGTAAATCGAAGAGCCGTGATCCAGCGGTGCACAAATGCTGCTCAAAATGTGGAATTAGTGCGACAGAGGATTTGGAGCTTGCCAAAACGAACAACAAATTAAGAACGCGCAGTGCAGCGCCAGCTACTCTAATATATTTGGATCGCATGCAATCCAAGATAAGCGGGACACAAGCTCCAAGTAGTTTCATATGCGTAAGGTCGTTAAGTTTCAGCCAGCGATAACGCAATAGGCCAACCAAGATATGAAGGCCACAAGCAGTGAGCAGATGGTCTTGAGTAAGCTCCGACTGAACGCGTGTTTGACTCAGCTCCCGAGGTGGCTCAGGATCTACACCTAAATAATCCCAGCGGGGTTCCAAAGGTGTTGAACAGGGTCGGGTCCAACCATGAGCTTTTCGTTTCATCCAGACCTGTCTTTTATTAGCAACACGGCTTTCAGAATCGTCAGAACAAAGGACACGGTGAATGCTTCCAGCGATAAGCTGCTCCGCCAACTTCAACAGCTCATCGGCCCGCAAACACCCAAACTTTTTGGTGCTGAACATGCCGTTCCGCGTCGGCAGTCTAGCCAACGCTACCTCGAGCCTCGCAATTGCTCGGTTCCGAAAACGTAAACCGCAACCAACACTAGAGCTGTCCTGCGTACTTGCTACAGTCGTATTTTTTGACTTTTCCAACAGAGATGTCCCAGTAGCAGCAGAACTCAAGGCTGATTGAATATCAGCAAACAGACGTAGTATGCCATTTAGAGAGAGCAGTCGGCATATTCGTGCCAGGCCACTTGGAGCTTTGAGGCCGCTGGCTTCTGGAAGGTCTACGATCGTCGAACCTCCTAAATGGGAAGAATTTACAGTTCCTGCATCTGACTGTGAGTGTCCCGGATGCATGGACGACAAGGGCTGCCCAGCAGCACGTCGGGAATCCATTTCCTCTGCAAGAGATCCAACGAGTTCGTCAAGGTAAAAGGCGCTTACAATACGGCCTGCTGTATCCATATGTCCAGGTTTCATAGGGACCTCACCATTAATAATAGCTAATTCAACGTGAGCAAGAATACGGTGCAGCGTAAAGAGACGAATTTGTTGCGCCGCATAACCGCGATTCAACTGTTGGCCAACCACTGTCAAAAGAGTGTCTAAATTTTTCCCGGGACCAAGCATCCGACCGATTCGCGTCAAGGACTCCACTGCCTCTGTCCTCGTTTTTGGAAGGATGGTTGGTGATGGGCGCAGCACGTCGACTACACGTAGCACAATGTGAGGCAGCTGGGATTCTAAGCATCCCGGAGGCAAACGACGAAGCAAAGAGACGAGAGAAGAGGCCAGAGAAATGCGGAAAATTTTTGAAGACTTTGAGTGTCCCCCGTTTCCGGAGAGATCCTTGGAAGGTTTTGTGATGTACGGTTGCAGGGTTTTGACCAAAGACAACATGTAATTCATGATCGATACGGAATCGATAGAGTCTCCTGGACCATGCAGTTCCGAGACTGGAGCAGATCCACGTGTGTCTAGATCGTTGCTATCTGTGGTCGCAGTCCATTTAGGAGGTCGGAATGAATCAATTAACGTAATTATAAGACGCGCAGCAAACGTTGAATCTCCAGCCGATTTGAGTCTGCTCAAGTAGAAAGTGAGAAGCTTGTGATATGCATCCCAGGATAACCGAGTAGCTAATGCGCCCATCGCTGAGAGACTGTTTTCTAATAGATGTTTTTGATCCGGTGATAAAACTATATCATCAGAAGACGACTGCACTTGCGGATTTAGATAACACTGGAGTATAGGAAGTATTGGATCGCGCAAATCCCGCTCAGGAATGACAAAGGCTGATTCGGTAAGCTGCAGAGTTTGTCTGATCGAGGCAATCCGACGTTTTGAAACGATAGTCAATGGGTTGTGTAGGAATAGGGATAACCTACGAATGGCGTGGGTTTGTCTTGTTAGCGCACTGCTTTGTAGGTTATTGTAAAAATCATTCGAAGGGGTTTCAGGATCCGACAATAGTGCGAGTGGCTGGAAGCGAGGTGTATCTCTGAGATGATGTACTGTGGCGGTCAGAAGACGCAACAGATGTAGACGTTGTGATTCGGTGGTCTTAGGCCGACGTAACAAACGCAACAAGCCAGGCCACAAGCAACCGAGAATGAGAGTACGATATGTCCACGATGAATCGATGGATGTTCTGGACCGCACGGCTTCCAAAACACTGACACAGTAGTCCAGCGCAGCATCTCGTAACTGAAGGTCATTGTGAACCAGGGTGTATAGTGCACAATTGACCCCACCAAGATGAAGATACAGCATATATTTGGGAGGGTCCGGTAGCTGAAGCACTCGCGATAATTCTGTTAATATACCGAACGCGTATTCACGACAGACACTGTCCGGTTGATCAAGGTGACGCAGGTCCCAAGAGTTCAACTGAAAACAAAGAGAACACGGAGGTGAGATTGGAAAGAGCCGGGCGCAATCAAAGATCAAGTACGCACAGATGACTGCCTTTTTGCATTTAAATGTGCTTTGGGAGTACAAGAGAAAGTCTGTCTAGCGAACCGATTCATACCATCCAAAAAAAGAAACAACACAACCAAATGATGAAGCACGACGTAAGTGGATTGCCGAGCTAGAGATGTGATAAGGGCGAAGTCGCACAAACTAAGGATTCATGAGTCGTAAGGAATGAAGAGATGGAAGGGGGAGAGAAATAGTTGAGGACTCACGCGAGAGAGAATGTCTTCGAGAAGTGCTTGCACCGTTTCATCCTTAAACTTGCTCAAATAATCCGGTAATCTTCGTAAAGAATGTGGTGCGATGGTCGTGTCCGAAAGCTCCTGAAGTTCAGCGAGAGGCAAGCTGGGAAGGCGTTGAACTATGGCTCCCACGGCCTGACACAACAGGCCACGACAAATGCGCGAATCGAGACGGGAGAATAGATTTAGGATCCGGCTGTAAGGAGGATGATGAACGGGGACAGATCCAGAATGACAACTGTTAAAACACGCTTAGACGCGCATACGGGTGAATGAAGTTTCAAGAAGGAAGTATGAATGAGTGCGAAGATTTCATCTGTTTTCTCGAAGCCCAAAACATCAGTTAGTGTTATTAGACGAATAAAGTGTTTTGTTTGGGAGCATAGGGAGCTGCGTTTGTTAACTATGTCCCGACATCGATGTGCATACCGTTGCGCGACAAGTGCAAAACTGTTGCAGATTGCAAGAGACGATCAAGATAGAAAATCAATGGCGAATATTACGCATAAGGGTATCGCGAAGCCCAATGCAGTAACCAATGAGAGATCATTCTCTCAGTAGCCACCAAATGGAGATGTCATAGAAAGCGGAGATTGAACTAGTAGTTGTGCTTACGAGTTATACAAAGGTGATCTCTAAAATCGAACGGGACTAAACCGTGCATGCAAGTAGAAAATTTTTCGTCAGCTGAAGAAATAGTTTGGCTAAATTATAAGTACAGGGCTACCCAGACTAATTCCGCCAAATCCAAAAGGGACGTTTAAGTTAACGAATGGTACGCATAGCCTTAAAGGTAAATGGCATACAGAACGATCTGTGGTTGACAACTGGTACCCGAACGACTGCGAGATTATCTCTGCAGTTCACTTCAACAAGGAGGGTTGTTCGTTACACACTTGTCTCGGACAAACGACGATTGATAAATTTACCTGGTTCGGTACAATAAAATGATCCTTGGAAACATTAGAAATGCAGTTCAGGAGGCGATGGCATTCAAAAAGCCTTACAATTCTGTGTTGGAAAATATATAAATGGATCCATATGTTGGATGACTGGTCCCAAACAACATGTGATGTTCGAAAGCAGAAAACTCACGCCAAGTGTTCTTCGAAATTATCTGCCAGTTGGACGAGTTGAATTAGTGCTCGGACCAACTCAGCCTCTACGGCATCCGCCGTGGCCAACTGAGATTCGCGCGCAGCTGCGGCGGAGTCAGAGTTTATCACGGGAGCGGAAGGACTGTGGCTGGCTTTGGCAAATCGCAGTTGAACTCTGGTGAGAAGAGTTAGTAGGCCGCGGATGAGATGATCAGCCTCAGAAGAAGTGACGGTTCGTGGAGAAGCGGCTGTGTCATCCTCGGACAACGTGGCTATGTAACCGAGCAAACGAAATTCACGCTGGAGACGAACACTGTTGTGTTTGCTCCGGAACAACGGTAACGTTTTACTGTGAGACAAATTTTCCAGTCTAACATGTAGGTACCGGACAAGCTGAGAATGGTGAACCTGAAGGATCTGCCGGCCAACTTGCTGCACCTCTAAAGCGGGAAAGACAAGTGTCGTTATAGTTCTACAAAGAGGATTTTAACAAAATGTATAGTAAAACAGTGAGTCCCCTTCAGCCATTTCAAGGCATAGTAATCGACAACTGACAATTATAAAAATGGAGCGTGCTACTGCCGTGTTTCAAGCGTATCATTTAAAGCCGCTCATGATGGGAGAAACATACACAAAAGATGTACTGATTCCAACATGAGTGTAAGGTATAACGAAGAAAACGCTGAAAAAACAGCGACGTAATCTTCAATATGTAGCGCGAATGCTCGGATTTGAGCAAGGGATGAAAAAACACTGTCCATAAATTTCGATGAGTTCCCAGTGAGTGTGATTTGCAGATGAAAAAAGACAGTAGAGATAAGTGAAGCGAAACTTTCGAATGGAAATGATTCAAAATCCATCGAAGAATATTCAAGAACCAGAGTCGAAATTCATAGGAGAAACGTCGGAACGTGTAATAACCAAGAAAATAATCTCACTGCAATATGTACGAGGTACAAGAAAATGTCAACAGTGTGCTCACCGGGTAAAAACAGCAAATTATCCACGATCTCTAGCAAACGTTCCGCCAAAATGCTGTTTATTTTTGGAGAACTGAGTAAGTTTAACAGTGCCTCCAGAGATGAGCCGTTGAGCAAATTTAACGCCAGATGACTTGAAGTTGACCAGGGCAACGCCAAGGACAAAAGCAGATGATTACTGGACAGCGTAGAGTTTGACACCAAAGTTGACAGCGAGGAGGGGTGGAAGCAAACGTGTCTGATGGCTTCCAGTAGGTTAGGCTGTGACCAAAACCCACTGGCATGGAGCGAGCTAGAGGTGAACAGGTGCTCGAGAAGGCGAACTCCAGTGGAACGTATCCGCTTTATTTGGGCTGCGACAGGTAAGTTGAGTCTGAAAGCTTCTTCATCACCTGAAGTTAGTGAGAGTTTTACTTCGCGAATTGTTTGAGCTACAGCAGTCAAACAAAGTCCCAACCGAAGAAGAATGTCAGCATACACAGTGCCAGAGTCCTCTGAAGAGTCTGGAAAGCTCAAGCGACCCAGACGATGACCCATATAATCCAACACATGATTCAACACAGTTGATATGCTAAAGTGGGAAGGAATGATTGCAAATGATAGCGAAGTTAAACGGATAAGGAAATTCTCGAAAAGTGTTAAGGTACAGCAGCCACAAAGATTAATGTTCACACTTGAATGGGAAATCCAAATCAGCCCATAATGATGAGCAATGCTGGGGGTGGTGGCGGCGGCTGCCTGAACATTAGTAGTATATCGGTACTTTAAAATGGTGCCTCGATGTCAGATAATAAGAAAATAAGAGGACTGATTCGATAGATAGCGACGTACGACTAAAATGCCAAGGGCAAACAGTTGGGAGCAAGGCATATGCAGCATGATAACGAATGATTACAATCATCGGGCTAGAGTTTAAGGTCAAGATAAAAAAGATTAGACACCTCCTCTGTACCTTCCACAACACTGCATTATACTCAACCTGAAACCGAAACTAGGCAAGCACTGTGAGTAAAGAAGCGAATTCTTTTGGGGGAAAAACAAACTATCGAAGATAAGTTGATAAGGAGACAGCTGAATAGGCTTCTCGAAAATCGTGTATAACAGGAGCAACAGATCTAGTAAGAACGGTGTTAACAGGGTGTTTGTGTTGAACAAGTATTAAAAAAATCAGTAGATTAGGCATGTGCCAGAGGCTAGTGATCGATCAGCATAGTCTAATCGGGTTAGCACTGCGACTGGTGCAATTACAGAATCGTGCCTGCAATGTGACTATAAAACGACCTTAAGGTGGTGCGATGGTCTGTGTGCCCCAATAATCTATTAAGCTATGCTGGGTGGTGCTTTTGCCTCTTCAGAGCCACTCATACTAGGCCAAACAAACTCAATTTCCTGGTCCTCTAGATAGCAGTTGGAGTGAAGATGGCTCTGCTGAATAAAACGGACTGTCTGTAGCCTAGTGCCAAAGCCACACTGTCCTGTGATCCAATTTTCGAACCGAAAGCTTCGGTTGAGAACGTCAAATGTTCTTCCATCCGGGCCTGGAAAACCTAAAAGTATCCTGCCCATGAAATACAATGAATTTCTCTCCAAACAATTTCTTGATACTCTGGCCCTCACAAAGTATATTCAATGGCGTCCTGTCTGTTGCGTGGAGCCGAGTGGATAGTAATGAAGATGTTACTGCTTAGGCCGTCACGTCTTCATATTGCTCCTCTTGCGCTATTTCATGTTTGTCGTCCCTTTCCAACTTCATCTTTACCTTCTGTTTTCAAGTTCTCAATTCTCGGCCAGCTCACATCCTGCTATGATAGTCGTATGTCTCCTAGTTTCGACTCGCAAGCGATCGCAGGGCGGCGTTTTGGTCCAGTTGACAAATCCATGTTCAGTCAAGCGGACATCAGCGAACCCCTCACTGTTTGGGGCTCTTGGTCCTCACCACGGGTGGCATGACTCCACATGCGTCATCTGTTACAGATTACTGAGAACAACGAGACCGCTTGGTGGGCAAATGCTCTCAATGATTCATCCTCAGACCATTACAATCATATATAGGGCTAAAAAAGAGAGTAAAATCGACCCAGTCAGTACAAGAAACACGAAAAATTGGAACGGGTTAATTACATGTTACGGAGTTTGATTTCATGCCGCTGACCTCAGTAGCCCCCGTATTCGCGGGCCAGGGAAGCTGAACAGCCTGGATAAGCTTCTTTTGCTAGCCAAAGGTAGCTGTGTCACCTCCTGTGGTCACATCACTGAGATTGTTACTTCGCGTGTCGACAGAGCCCGTGTGGCTTTCCAGTGACTCAGCTATCAATGTAAACAGTGGGATATCAGTTTGTCTGTGAAAGCTAGGGTGTATCACGCTGCAGTAAGGCCAGTCTCATTGTAGGGATTAGGGATCTTGTCAGTTCGCAATGAAGACATAAGACGCTTGGCTGCGTCTGACCACCGGTGTCTGCGGAGTATTGCTCGTCTGGTGGGAACACCGGGTGAGCAACGCCAGTTGGATTATGGCAAGAAACTTGGTGCCTCATTCGAGTGTTTGCTGAATCTTAATTGCTTAGGTTGGCTAGGCCATGTCGTCCGTATGTCGGTTGAACGGCTTCCTAGGCGTGTACTATCCGCCGCGGCTGCACCAAGTTGGGTGATGAAGAAACTGACTGAAAGACTTGGTCAGGCTGGTGCCTGTCGTTTAGGTGGATGAGGGTCTCGGAATTCTTCACACTAATGGTTGGAGACCGTATCAGACATGGCGCATTCACACAGTCAGTGGCGTTCTTGCATTCGGTTTTCTGCATCTTCGTTTCATTCTGATTACGTTAATGCACTTTCTTCTTGCCCCCATTTTGCTTACATTCGGTTTGCTATTAACCGCTGCTATTTGTTGGTATTATTGCGATGTGAGTCGTGGCAACTGGATCCACCGCACTTCGGCGCTCGGATGACAGTTGATCAACTGAACTGGGTGTTAGACGGGCTCGCGCTTGACAGTCGTTCACAGCTAAATAGTTTGACATTCGTGACTGTCCCGTCACTTGATTGTGTTGGACGCACGCACGACAGTCGTTTAGTTACGCCGCTCACCATTCATGGGTATGTCCTTTCATGTGTTTGACTTATTGATCTATTGATCTTTGTGCATCCCGGCTGCTCAGCTTTGTCAGTTTTCAATACAGCTCATCCCAACGCCGTGTGTTCTTGCTTTCCGTTCGGAGTGGGTTGTGTTACAGTCAGACGTTACAATGGACTGGCGACTGCATTCCAGTTTGCAAACCATGGCGGTCCCCTTGGAATTTCTTCAAGGTATGCTGTCCAGACAGCAAGCGCAGTTTGAGGCGTCACAGCAACGGTTAAGCTAAACATTGACAACATCAGCATCAACGGATCCAACGGTTTCCGCTGCAGACAAGCTGGTGCACAGTATGGCAAAATTTCATTAATAGCCGGACGATGAGCTCACTCTCGACGCATAGTTTCGCCGCTATAAAGATTTGTCAAAAATTGATGGGCGTGAGCTAGGCGATGTAGCTCAGGTGCGTCTTCTATTGAGGAGATTGGGTCCACAAGAGTATGAAAAATACTCTAATTAGATTCTACGCAAGAACCCACGCGATGTATCATTGGACGACACTGTGAAACATTTGACCAGGATTTGCGGCCCTAACACTTCACTTTTCAACGCATGTTTCCGATGTTTTCAAGTTGTTAAGCACCAATAGGATGATTTTGTGACTTTTGCAGTTGTTGTTAACAGAGAATGTAAACGCTTTCAGCTTAGTACACTCACAAGTGATCAGTTTCAAGCGCTTATTTTTGCTTGTGGATGTAGAGATTCGAACACGTTTGTTATCAAGGTTGGAGTCTCACCCCGAAATCTCACTACAGGAGCTGGTACAGGAATGTGAACGTATGTTGACACTGAAGCATGACACAGAAACGATCCAGCGGCATAACGAGTCTTGTGCGGCGGATGTTCATATTATTCCTACACGCCCTAGGCCATCGCGCAATTCAGTATGTCTCTCAGACTATGCACGCCGAGGCCGTCCGCCTAGTGCTTGTTGGCATTGTGGTCAGTGGCATTTCGTTTGATTTTGTGAATTCAGACGATTTATTTGCAAGTGCTGCGGGAATATGAGACATAAGAAAACCAGATGTTTGCAGGGAGCCTCTGGAAGACCGTCAGGAACCTTCGCCAAAACTCCAAGTTTTCAACGTTGCCTTGCAAATGTGATTTGCAACCACTAGCCCGAACTATCAGTCACTGCGCAAGTATATATAATGATTGTGATAAACGGTGTTTCTGTCCGGCTTCAACTGGACACGGCTTCCGATATTACAATCATTTCTGAGTCGATATGGAGCAGGCTCGGTAAACCCGCAGTATTCAAAAGTCGCACGGTGCCCACGACGCGTCCGGTTCGGAATTACGTTTTATTGGACAATTCAATTGTAATTTGCATGCTAATGGTGTTTGTTACGTTACACGTTATGGACATTTGAACTTGTTAGGCATTGTTTGGATAGACCGACTTAATTTATGGAATATACCTTTGAACAGCTTTTGTGATAACCCAGATAGTTCTTCACTGTGTCCCACCGATGTTCGGTTGCACCCGTAACGTTTAAAGACAGTGCAGACGCTTTATCACATTTTGCCTCTAAGTACCCCAATGTTTTTGCAGAGGCCTTGGAATGTGTTCCAAGGTAAAAGCTGTGTTATATTCGCGTAACGATGTACGCCCAGTATTTTGTCCCAAAAGACCAGTACCATACGCTGCTGCTGAGAATGTCGATACCGAAATTAGTCCATGGGCGTCATCAGTTCTGTGAGCTGCTCATTGTGGACCGCTCTTATTGTGTATATTTGTATGGTGTATTTGTGCTGATTTTTCTACCGGATTAAATAACGCATTGGATACGCATCAATATCCCATACCTGTTCCAGAGGATTTATTCACAAAGCTTAATGGAAGAAAGATTTTTCTAAAGTTGATCTATCTGATGCGTGCTTGCAAGTAGTGGTCGAGGAGCGTTCAAAAGAACTACTGACTATTAAAACTCATCGAGGCTTGTACCATTACAATAGGTTATCTTTCGAAGTAAAATGTGCTCCAGCGATCTTTCAACAAGTGATGGACGCTTTGCTATCCGGAATACAATGTGCCATGGTTTATTTGGATGATATAATAATTATAAGCTCCACCACCCACTTGAACGAAGTATTTTCCAGGATAGATTCACATGGATTTCGTGTACTTCCAGAGAAGTGCGAGCTAACGATGCCCAGTATCACATACCTTGGCTCCGTTATCGACAGTTCCGCTCGTCGGCCAGACCCAAACAAAATAAAATACATCAAGTTAATGACACACCCCACGAACAAAGCTACTTTGCCGTCTTTCTTGGGTCGAGTTAACCATTATCACAATTTTGTCCCTCAGATGCACGAACTCCGGACTCCACTAAATGCATGTTTGGCGAACGAGTCAGTGTGGCACTGGTCATGTCAGCGACAGAAAGCCTTTGAGGACATTAAACAAATCTTGTTCTCCTATCGCCTTTTAACTC